AATGTAAAATATTAATTTTCTGTGGTATTGTTATCAAATTCTAACTTCTACCAGGTACTATGACTGCATGCCGTCATAGCAGTGTATTTTCCAGCTCATAAGTCCCAGCCATAGATAACTGCTGCCATCTGTTGGCCAAAACAAATCCAGGTGGAAATAAAAACCTTCTTTTTCAGTGTGTTGTAAACTCCATAGCTCAATGCCAGTAGCACTTACAGTGATTCTGACTGTTTGTGAAGAAACTTCAGAGTGTTACCGTTCAATAGCGACTAAAACCCATACATGTACTCCCAATGGTTCAATAAGAGCTGTCAGTTTACTTTGGGTACGCCTTGGATAGGCGTTTTAGGCAAATTTTACAGGAGTGGTAAGATTAAGGGGCGATGGTGGGTCCCGCAGCCAGACCAGTTGAGAACCACTGGTTTAAAGGGTTGAAATTGTGAAAATAATTAGTGTTGGCGGCCCTTGCAGGCTAGTTTCTATGGGGACGTTTTGGTCCTTGAAGTGGAAGTCCTAAAGATTTCAGTCCTGGTGGATTTAGAACTTCTCCTGAGTGAACAAAATAGAACTGTGCTCACAGTTAAGCGATCTGAAGTCTTGTGCTGTGTCCACAATTCTATACTAACATGGCGTTCTTCAGAATGGTGTGCATTGCTTACAGTGAGTTTGCCCCTGTGAGCAGTAAGCAGCAGCATTGACTTGATACTCTGCTGCTGGTGAGCAGACCAGAAGGTGAAATAAATGAGTTACTCACATCTATTACATCTCACAGTGTTTGGTTGCAGTGGCCTTGACCTCTAAATGTCAAATCATTCTCACTCATCAATCCATTCAGAACAGCTTTCAATGAAATATAAAGAATGGAAAAACAGCTTTAACTTTTCCAATGCCTTTAACTGCAGTCATGTGAAACAACGATCTGCACTACGGGACTAAATAAGATGGAAGCAAATGCATTTCCATGTGCAGCAGTAGCACACTTAATCATAGGACATTAAACTGTAAGCAACGGCACTTTTTCAGTTTGTATTGACTGCTCTGAACTGACTGATAAAACTGAGGTACCCAAGAGCAAGGCAAGGCACTATCTCATAGCAGCGCCAGTGGAGCTGCTATGAGACCAAGAGTCCATGTCAAAGTGAAGGGCTGTCTTCTTTCTGGGAGAGCCTTTAGCTCAGTGAGCTGACAGTGGGTCAGTATAGGTTAACAACACTGAGCTCAGCGAGGGGCTTTCACGCAATTAGGACCACCAACGCCCATAAATGTATCAAATCAATTTTAAATGCTTGATATAAAAGCCAGAGGTCAAGCCACCTGCTCTATCCTACCTGATCTGGAGGTGGTGTCATCACAATGAATACTGTGGTCTTCTTTGGAGCAACACTACTCCTGCTGATGTTTTTACGGTCAGGGGAGTCTGCAGTGTTTTCCTGGAGACCAGCTTGCAGCTCTCTGCAGTTCTCAGGAGCCTCCGTCTCTTTTTCCCCAGGCAGCGGAGTTTGGGCAGGCTGACACTGCGCCCTGCTAAGAAGGCTCTGGCACAGAAAAGTCTTCATCATCCTCAAACTGGGGCTTAGGGTGTCTGGTTGATTGCCCTCTACTCAAACGACACTTAACGGTTTCTGTTGGCTGAAATCAGAGGATTGAACTGGCAGAAAGGTGAGCTGAGGACAACGTGGGACAGTAGAGAGGGCTCCTCCACTTTCTCCCGCTTCACTGCTCCAGCTCAGTATCTCTGTCTTATCTTGGTACTGGATCTTTTTCTCCTAAAGATGACTCAGTTGACAGACGTCCAGGCTCAGGTCCACAGACATTCAACAGAAGAAGCAGATAATAACTAAATGCTCCTATCCAACTCTTGTCATACACTTCTGAGGCATGATTAGTTCTCCATTTAAAGTAGAATTCCACACTGAAAGTATCTCATGTGAAGAATGATTCAATGATGGCAGCAGCAGACTTAGCTGGCTTCAGTATCAGCAGCCGAACAAATTCAGCAGAGAGCCTTCAGAAAGCTGCATCCTCACTGCAGCTGAGCCCGACCAATCACAGCAGCCCATACTAGCAGGTTACCCTGTCGAGCCATGGAACGAGCCCCTCAGCCAATGGGGGACGGGATTGCAGGATGGAAATTAATTAATTCCTTCAATAGTCAGCCAGAGTAGAAGGAGGGGGTTGGTGAAGAGCAGGGTCCCCCCCGGTGGCACCTCCCTCACAGTAGAAAATCTGCTGAATGATGCCTCCCTCCTCCCTCCCTCTTTATCCTCCCTCCCTCCCCCTGAGTCATTCCAAGCAAACCGTCAGCCTCCAGCAGGCGATCCCATCCACCCGACAACAGAGCTCCGCCTTATTAGAATTCTCAACACGGACTGGGTCCCTGCCGCTGGGAAAACTACAATTAAAAGGCTCCTCACTTCCAGCTGCTCTCCACAGAACTGGTCCACTGACTGCACTGCTTACAGAGTACATTACATCCCAGTGTAACTGACTATTGACAGAAACAGGAGCTCTCTTAATAATAGCATGTCCAACATAAAACTCGCAAGGCCCTACTCGCAACTTCTGTAACAAGTCTCTCCCCACCAGTACGAGGGATCTTTGACATGTTAGCAGTGAAACATGGATACACATCAAATGACAGGCTGGTATCATTACTTTTTTTCTAATCGTTACCCGACAGACTTTCTGACCTCCCATCCCGTCTGTGGCTCTCAGCCCCAAGTGCATAGGTTCCCACGGGGATCCTTAAAAACAGGCTACAAATCTATAGCGGCATTCAATGTCTGAGCCGCGTCTGAAAATCCATACTGACATGCTATTTAGTACCCTACAGTATGTGGACTGTTTTAGCGTCCCAAACCTCAGTATGAAACCAATAGTACGTGAACGGCAATATTTCCGGTGAAATATTACACTATGCAAACAGTGGCACGATCCCAGCAAACATATCCCACAATGCTAGGCGGTAGTGACAACATCGTTCATAACAGATAATGGCGTAGAGCTCTGTAACGTCAATAATGCTTCAATGTAAGTCTACAACATTTCACATTGCTCAGCATAATAAGGTTTTTAAATTTCACCATCAGTGTAAAATAAAGTTTTACTGCTGTCAACTGATATTCATAAGTGATCAGGAGATTGGCTTTAATGCTTTCTATCTGCCGATCGCAGATAATGTTACACTGTGAACAAATGCATGTGTCCGGGGGGGGGGAACCAAGTATTCACAAAGGTAAATTATATTATATTATCATGATGTGTTCAAAATGTTGTTTTTGGTGAGAAACTTTTTTTCCAGTTGTTAGAAGGAACTGCAAAAGTATTAATGAGCTTTTGAACCGTGTATTTATATTCATTGTCAAATGATACAGAAAACATCATTTTGAGATAGACTAAAGCCTGACAGTTTCAAGTTGTGTAGAGAGAGGAGCATGAACCAGTGAGGTGTTATTAGACCTGTGTTCCTGTGACCTCGGAGGTCTTGGACATTTTCCACTATGTCAAATGTCATGTAGAAGGTCACATGATCCAGGATTATGTGACCATCGGCAACAAACAAAGACAGACATTTTCAGAGAATCAGAGATTTGCACAACTCGGATCTGCTTCAGTCCAGTCTGTGAGACTCCCACACTCAGGTACTACTTCTGCAAAGTAGCTCGCTGCTAAAATTGCTGCATGATGTGTCATAAATGTTCTTAATTATTTAAGAACTTTAGTGCAAAAATAATCAGACATTCCGAGAAATGTGTGTTAGTGAGTGCTTGTTATCAATTTAGACAACAGAGTTGTGTTTCACCATATCTTTTTCTATCGTTTCATCACAAAATGATTCCATTAAAAGACGATGAATTATCATACCTGTATGTTCGACACAGTATTAGGGAAATACTGGAGCGTTTCACTAACCTGCTTTACAATGAAACTGTAAGCAGGCCCTCTGAAGACACCTTTCACTGTGCTACCAACCACAGATTGAACTGAGGTGTCCACATGTATTTTGGCCTACACATTACTGCTTGCTAGGTAACTTACATATGAACATTGTAAATTTGATTTACTTATGACTTTACATTCCCCCAAATGTGGTCGACTGCGTTTTGTTGTCGTGTACATTTCTCCATCTCTACAGTTTGGCACTTCTCTCTGCAGCTGTGTGGTTTGCTTCTCTTCTCCCTGGAACTGCTACTCAACAAGATGCTACATGGTAAATAAACTCTACTTGTATTTCTCTTTTCTAGTCTTCTGACCACTCAAAGCTCTTTAACACTACATGTCATCATTCACCCATTCACACCCATTCATACACTGATGGCAGGAGCTACCATGCAAGGTGCCACCTGCCCATCAGGACTAACTGACATTCAGACACCGTAGGCACAGCTACGGGGGCAACTTGGGGTTAGGGGTCTTGCCCAAGGACACATCGACATGGACCGGGATCGAACGGTCGATCCTTTGATTGAAGGACGACCCTGCTCCATAGGAAACTTTTCACAAAAACAGAACTCCTCATACAATTGTGCTGAAATACGTCCACTTACCATGAGCTCATGTTCAGTGCGATGTACTCCTAGTTTCTTCAGTCCAATTGTCAGGTCGTTGACACAAATGCCTCCATCACCGTTAACGTCCAGGACTTGGAACAACACTTTCAGTCGGTGCTCCTGCTCAGGCCCTCCACATATGTCACATGGATGCGCTGACTGACCGGGGTCCGCGTGGCAGTCACCAGCGACGGGCTGCCGGGGGACTGCTTCAGATGGGGGAGCTGAGGAGGGTTCTTCGCTGTGCCCGCCTCCACAGCCCGGGTCGATCCCTCGGTGGGTCTCGCCCGATCGGCACTGGCAGATTACACTGCAGAGCAAAGGAGGCATCAACGAACCATCAACGAACCCTGCTGATATATCATGAGCGTCCACTTAGTCAGAGAGCACTTGAGGCCACTGTTACCCGACCACCACGTCACATTTCCTCCACTTCACAGGCACTGAAAGGAAAAGCTACCAGAAGCCGGTAAGCTTACAAACGCCGCTTTTCACCACGAACACATTTGCGGAATTCAGTTGAGACGAAAATGGTTCCTCCTAATTTAAGTTGATAAAAGAGCTCAGCTAGCTAGCGTTTTCAACGCAAAGCTAACCGAAATGGAAGATGCCGGTGAAACGTTACGTGGTGATAAGATGCAAACAACGGTGGACTTTACACAAAGCTCGTGTATCGCCCGTCACGAAAAATGAGGTTCCAGTTAGAATAAGATGTTTATGTTTGTAAATGCGTTAACTTGCCAACAGAGAAGACAAACATACTCGATTCTAACAAGCCTGCTATGTCTAAGACATGACCCGCCCTACTCTGCCTCTGATTGGCTGGTTCTCGTTATCTTCGTTGGTTGGAATAGTTATGTTTAGGCGTGAGGTGAGGCAGAGCCGTGGAAAGACAAAGTCGCGTCAACGGAAGTTCAAAATGCCTGATCGCCACGTGATTCACAAAGACTTCATATACATCCAGAAAGTACTTGGGGGACAATTTAAATGCGTAGAAAGCTTTACAAACTGAGAGACGATGTTTGGTAATTAGTAGTCAATGAATAAATTTAGCATTAAGGATTTACAATATTCATATAGAATACCAACACATGTAAGGTTATGTAGTTCCATCAATGTTAAACAAATAAGGAAAATTCTTACCTTTTAAAATGCATCACAAACGATCCATTCCGTTGCAATTCTATGCTAGTATTTGCTGCTAAATTCCCGAAACGATTGAGGCTCTATGATGCCCCTAATACTAATAAATACAGTTATCATCACTGATGATATCTAATGGATTTCCTGCTTTCCCCAGAATCACCTCCAGAGAAGGAAATCTTCTGTGCAGCATGGTAAATGTTATGTGTCTGTATATATGGCATATATATGCAAGGATGGTGCAGGGATGATGTATTTCTGTAGGCCAACAAGAAGTCAGCCTCACTGGGTTCCTCCACAAAAAGCCAATAGGATTGTTCCATTGGATTTTGGATTATTGCAGAAAATAATCTCTGTGTCAAACAAATATGATATTTAGAAGTTTTGTTTATCAAGGTAATCTTCACAAATAACCACTTTTATGATCATTGAAGAGTGAATACGCAGAAGTAAAAAGCCTACTTTAGGCTATAAAGGAACTCCACCTCGGTCACATGACTTCACGTCTCCACCACTAAGCTAAAGGAGGATAGTGTTCTAGTGAGGACGTTTAGTCGTCTCATTCAGACACTTTTTTAAGTCACCTAAACGCTTCTAAATTCACCAGAGGGGTGTTCACTGACCTATTTTATATCAGAGAACTAAACTATAGAATCAGTTCAGCTTGTGTCACCACAGACCTAATGTCAGACAGTTCACCATAAACACATTCAAGAAACACAAAGACTTTGAGACGAAGGAACCCAAAGTGCAAAAATGTGGACTGATTTCTGAGGTTTTAGGACTCTACGCAGCACCACTCGTTATATATTCACCCATTCACACACGTGATCATAAAGGCAACGCAATCATTTTGCCTTTGAAGTTTATTTTAAAGTAATGAATCAAAAACCAAACTTGAATAGAATTCATAATTTCTCTACTTTACTACACTAACTGTTACTTTGTTAAAACATAAAATGCCATAAGTCCATCCACACTGTGTCCTTGCTGTTCTGGGTTGTTCTGAAAACTCCACAGAACTGCATGAGACCCAGTAGTTTAATGTTTCTGTGGCTCAATCATATGGTTTCCGGTCTTTATTTGGAGGAGACTCTGCATCCGAGTCATAATGAAAATTTGTTAAGATTTATGGTCCCTTTATTGATTATATCAGAAAGCAAAGCGACTTGGCTACAACTAAGTATACGTGGATTTATGTGCCCCTCTTGTGTGACTTCATGCTTATTTGAAAATCATACACATTGTACATCCCCCAACAGTGACAATGGCTGTATGGACATTTCTGTCATTGTGGCAGAGGACACTGATACAGAGTCCAATATTTTGAATTATCTAGAGGTAAAAGTTGTTCACTCTGGTTCTTGACTTGTTATTATTCATGTATTCAATTAGGTGACTTCTACACATAAATATGAATTTGCAAAAGTTATTAACATTTTCGCTTTTCAATGAATGAACAATAAACTTTTATTGGTGGAGTTATCTTTTTTAACTAATACATTTCTTTTACACTTTCATTTCAGTTTTTTATTTAAAAAAACTGAAATGAAAGTGTACAAAAATTGCCTTAAGATTGTGTAAATAGATACACACACACACACACACACACACAAACAAACAAACAAACAAAACGACAGAATACAAGGACTATAATAAATGATATAGAGAATGAGTCTTTATGTTATTACTGTTAATATTTAAGGAGTAATCTAAAAGGGCACTGCTTCAGTAATCTAGTACTTTTAGGAGGGAAATATTAGAGGAGCATACACATGTTTGCAAATTTTAGCCTAATAATTGCATTTAGCAAAAAAATGTTGGGGACACATTCAACAAAGTGTTTTTAGGGCTACAAGCAGAACCAGCCTCAGTTTTATGGCATCAAGAATGAGATAAAGTGATGCATCTCATTCTTGATGCCACAGATAAGTGGTTCACTCAGCACTGTACAAATGTAAGGCAACAAATCACAAGCTAAAGTTAACTTTCACTGTTTTACATCCCTTACTGCTGTCTGTTTATAACTGCGTAGGTTTATATGCCCTTTACAAAATGTGTTGATGTGTTTATTTAAAGCCTGCATACTGTTACAGAAATGTTGAAATGAAAAAAATAGAATAAAACAACGAATAGTCACCAACTAGGACTGTAATATAAAGTGAGATACGGGAATTATTAATAATGAATATATTTAGCTCATTGAGTACTGGCGTCTGATTAAGCCAATAGTCACAGAGCGTAAAGCATGACCGCGAGATATTCAACCAATGGGGTATCAGTGGGCGGGACTAAACGCCCAGCTAACGTAAGCGTCGTTAGTAGGAAGAAGAAGCCGATTCTGGAAGCCATTACGTTGCGCTCATAATTGAGTAAATCCTACTATTTTTGCGTACAATACGCACAATTACTTCAACAAAAGAGGAATTTCTGCAATAATGGCATCGATCGCGAAAAAGAGAAAAATGAATTTCTCGGAGAGAGAGGTGGAAATTATTGTAGAAGAAATAGAGAAACAAAAACACACACTGGTTAACCACTTCAATGCTGGAGTCACCCACATGGCAAAGAATAACGCGTGGGTGGACATCCTGAAAAAGGTCAACGCTGTCACCACCTGTCCCAGAGAGCTGCCCGAGGTGAAGAAGAAGTGGTCCGACATGAAGACCGAGGTCCGGCGGAAAGTGGCCCAGGCGCGGGCTGCTATAGAGGGAACCTCCGCTGACTGCGCTCCAGTGCCCGTCATCCTCACTGCGATGCAGCAGAGGATCTGTAACCTCCTGGGGGAGGCCACCATCATCAGCTTACCTGCAGGAGACTCGGATGCTGAGATAAGCTTACCTGTAACCGTGACCACCGCCACCACCGTCACACTAGCAGAGAGTAAGTAGACCGAGGTGTTCACTCCGAGTGTTCACGCTGAGCACGCACAGTCCCAGTGTTCGAGGTAATGCTGCAATAATAAGCAGGGACAGTGCACGTGTTTCCTCTGGTGAGAAACGATAAGACAGAGTGTCCGATGGATCTCAGACACCGAATATCTCCCGTAGAAGGCTTTTATTGCTGATGAGTACAGAGAGTCGTGGATTCATCTCTAAAGTGGACTGAGAGGATGAGCAAGATGAACATGTGTTATGGAAGATTCACTGCAATATCCAGCGGTGGAAAAGTTGTATTACTTACCGTAGCTTTTGACAAAACAATGACAAGAAAACATGCAAAGTGACTGCTGGCTTGAGAGGAGACTCTTATAGATTATAATAGACGTTGAGTCACTGAATCACATGATCTGATAGAACCAATGAAACCAGACCTGGTAAAGAAGCGTTGATAAGAGCAAATGTGCAGAGGGACCATACACATGTTTTAGTTTTCAGCCTAATAATTGCATTTAGATTTTCTTTCATCCTTTTCTGTGATTGTTGGTTGTTTGGTTGTGTTGTTAGCATCATATTCTGTGTTTATCTTTCAGCTCTTCCAGCTGGCTCAGGTACAGTCTGTGATGAAGCAAAGCCACTGAATGGTAAGTGTATTTCTGCTGCAGACTGCCTCCATACCGGCATGATGTTATAAACCTGACGTGTGCAGATCAGTCAGTGCATTTCTTGGTTGAAAGGACACATCAAAGGAAGCTCTCCATACACGGAATTGATTCTTTTTTCAGATTTCTGATTATTGTAAACTGTGATAGCACACATCAGAGGCATAAAGGTTTATATGAAGATACTTAGAGAATAATCTGTTCTTTTAATATTTTTCTGTTGGACTAAAAATTGTTGGGGACAAGTTCAACAAAGTCTTTTTAGGGCTACAAGCCGAACCAGCCTCAGTTTTATGGCATCAAGAATGAGATAAAGTGATGCATCTCATTCTTCATATCACAGATAAGTGGCTCACAGTTTACTTCATCTCTTATGGTGCCAGTCACTACTGTTTCTCGTCATCTTGACTAAAAACATTTAAATATTCATTTTGGGAGGTTACACAGAGGTTTGGAATGCAGTTTGTTGACGTCGTGCTGTAGTATGCAAGACTTTGAGCAGGGCCGTGCAGCCATTTGTGTTCTTTAGCGCCTTACAGGAAACATTTGGATCATAGATCATCAGTGAGCCACCATCCTCTCTCTCTGTTCATCATTTCAACATCCTGATGTTATCCAGATGTTGTTTTTTTAGGGCCACTGACCCTGAGCGAATCCTCACTTACTCCCGCTGCCATTCACAATGACATCATTCATTCTGAGATTTTAAGAACCAGCTGGTCTGTCAAATTAACGCACGCGTACACAAAGTTAGTAATGTGATTCAAATATGGGTAGAAAGTCAGCAGGTTCAACAAAGAGGGTTAAATATAATATCAAGATATATGAACTTGCATATTTATGACCAGCCAAATGAAACCATTCAAACCTGAAATCCATCCCCCTGGCTCCGCCTTAGACCACATCCTGACTCCAGCTCCATTCTTCACGCACAGACTATTGATCTTCTCGTTTTCACCTCAGCAAAATAGCGCATTTCCACATTCCCCCAAAGGTTGAACTCTTAACTGTTGCTGTGAGTGACATGGGGATTAGTAGCTCACTACTATATTTTCACTGTTGCGGTTTGAATGGAAACTTGCACCCTTCAGCAAAGTTACTCATAACTAGAAAAACAACAGTTTTCCTGTTCTGTTTCCAGCTGAAACAACTTACCACACCCTGGAGGACGGAGGCGTGGTGGAGTACTGCACCACCACTGTAAGCGACTCCACTCCCACTGTGGTGGCGGCCATTGAGGCTCCAGTGGAGATGCTGGCCTCATCCTCAGCTTCCCCTCCTCCTCCTCAGGGTCAGGCCAAACCTCAGGAGCTAAAGAGCCGTATCGCCCTCAACTCAGCCCGCCTGCTGCAGGAGCAGAGAGTCACCAACGTTCACATCCGACAGATTGCCCAGCACCTGGAGGGCCAGAACGAGCTGCTGCATATGATGCGGCGCTCCCAGGAGGCTCAGGCTTTCGCCCAAGAAAGACAGGCCCAGGCCCTGGAAGGTACCCAGGCTGCCCTGCTGGCATTAGTTCAGATGCTCAGGCCTGCGCTCAAAGACCTGCGCAAATTCTTACAGAGTGGGAATGAGGTGGCAAACCCCAGCAGCTCAGCAGCAGGGGGAACAGCTGACGGGGCAGGAACAGAGGAGCAGAGCAGACCCAAAACACCTCCACCTCCTCCACAGCAATCTGAGGAGGCACAATAGACAGTGTGTGTGTGTGTGTGTGTGTGTGTGTGTGTGTGTGCACGCGCCTTGTACATAGATGCACGCAGGCTTCAGAGAACAATGAAAAGCTTGTCAAAAGTTTCCTTGGGGTGAGCATGTGCAGACTCTTACTTATGTTTTATGATTCGTCAGAGAAGCAGTGAAAAGGTTATCTTGAAAATTATAATCTGTCATTAATTAGCAGCAAGTTTATGTTATTTAATACATTGGTTTTAATATTGAAATAAGGTTTTTAATGCAAAGCTGCAGCAGTCATCACCCTGCTGTGGGCTGAACATTTCATTCTTAGTTCTTCAAGTCATTCTGCAGTTTACCCAGACAAAGAATAGTGAGTCTTGTGTTTAAGAGCAGTCAGACGGGCTCTTCAGTTAGTGTGCACTCTGCCTCAGAACTGAATCAAATAAGAAACAATCATCAGTCTGTGTTTTTACTAAAGGCTGCATCGCTGTTCATCAACCAGAAGAGGTCAGTGTGTACAAGCAGGCTGCATCTGATGTAGATTTATTTTCATCTTTTATATTCATTTACAAATTGGGATGAAATCTGTATCATGTGAAATTATTTGTATATAATTTGGAATTGAAGGATTTAAGGATCGTTTATTGTTACTATGCACAACGATATGCAGTTGTAGCCCATTTTCAACACAAGTAAAAACATGACAAACAACAAAAACTAGTACATTCCTGTCGTGTACTTTCTGAATTTGCATCATAAGGAATGTAACCAGCAGCAACAGAAACACTTCTCTGGGCAGACAATATGGCCGACATCTTCACATTACAAATTCAACATGAGGAAAACATTGTCCATGAACTCTGACTGTGTTTGAGCACCGAGCATCGTGATGTGAACACAGAGTCCTCTTCCTCTGGTCCACCAGAGTCCTGCTCTCTGTCCTGCTGTCTGCCCGTCAAGTGCAGCTTGATCCTGGATGAACGATGGAGTCAGGTCTCTGTGAAGATGTGGTCGCTGGGTTCACCTCAAGTCTTATTTCATCCATCTCATTTTCCTGTGACTGAGTATCAGACAGCCAGCAGCATGCTGGGTAGTGGACTAGCCTCAGGTCCTAGCTGGGTTAGCGTAGCTTCCATCTGGGCTCTCCTCCCTCTCCTCCTGGGGCACTTTGGTGGCGTTTGGTCTGGCAGGTCTGTGGGCGGTGATCGTCTCAGAGTCTGCTGCACTGAATCCAAACGCTTCCTTTTCAGATGTTGATGAATGTCAAACATATGCAGAAGTGCTTCAGTGACCAACACACAAAAAAGATTAGGACAAAAGAATGATGCACAATTCATGGGAGCTACCGGCTGCAGCAATTGCCACCGTTGCCATAGCAACAATATCACATTTATATCATTTGTTACTTTTTGTTAAGTTAGTGACTTCGATCCACAGTAAATATGGGGAAAGTCAAATTAAAATTCCCTTGTAAGGCACAGTACAGACTTCTACTAACAACAGCCTAAATACATCCCGGTCAGCTGACAGTGTGTCATGTGTAGTGCCCTCTAGTGGTGAGGGTGAATACAACAGGTATTATATATATATATGTATATATATTATATATATATGGTGCAGATTGTAACAACTGAATACCCCTCAGCTCAGCCTCCTCCAGAGCCTGTCTGAGAACTCTTATCAATACTCTGTTCTTCTACATGACCAAATAATTGCTTTAAAAGTATAGATAGAATTTTCAAAACAAATACATTCAGAAGAATTTACTCACATTTTAAATATATCTAAATATTGTTTCTAGAGCAGCAACAGTCATGGTGACAACAACAAAGTCACTATATAAAGCCATTAATATCTCACAGAAAACAAATGTAAAATGTTAATAAAATAAATGATATTCATGAGTGGAGTTTATAAAGAATGAAGAACATGAACATCTGTCAGTATCAGTCATTCCTCCTGTCCTATGTCCTTCTGTCCTGTCCTCCTCTCCTCTGTCCTCATGTTCTCTGTCCTCTGCCCGGGTTTCGGTACCTATCTTCAGATAACGTAAAATCGCTAAAGACTCTAGAACCAGTCAAGTAATTCATATTTGATTCCAGCATGTATGTACATAGGCTATAGGCCATGTTCAGACATGTTAGATTCCCTTATAGGTGATCCTCTTCCTTACACACCTCTGCTCACACTTTGTGGACGCTCCCTAACTGGCCCCGTGAGGAGGTCTGAGACGCTCACGGAGCCGATCTGACTGACTTCTCGTGAACTCTGCTGAAGAGGGAAAAGTTGTTGAAGATGCACTGAAACCGAGACAGCCGAAGACTGCGGTTCTGTGCAGCGTTTGATTCCGTATGAGGAGCCTCAGACCGGCGCAACGGTAAGGTTTGCTGACGTTTATACGGAAGGCTGTTGTAGAGCCATAGAGTGGTTTCGGTGTTTGCGTGGCAGAAATATGCAGCGGGAGCGTGTTAGTGTTAGCGAAAGACGAGCAGACATGCGATCTTCTAGAGACAGCGTGTAATCCTTATAAAACTCACAGGACTATGGCAGCAGGGAGGTGTTGTCTTTTACTAAATGTGGGAGAGAAATAAACACGTGATTTCCACAGCTGTCACCGCTGCAACTCTTACCACGCAGTTACAAATGAAACCGAGTTCATCTTGTGGTGGCTATAACTTTATAACTTTAAAAAGTGTATTTCTTCAATTCCAGGTCGAAACAGTTGTTCAGAGATGACTGACCTTGAAGCAAAGCAGGACTTCCAGCCTCCACTTTAAATCCACATACAGTAAATATATATATATATTTATATATTTTATTTTTCTTCAGTTTTCATTGGTGATCATAATACAATGAGCAGCTGGGAACAATGTCTTTTTTGATGAAAAAGAAGAAGTTCAAGTTTCAAGTGCACTTTACACTGGAGGAGCTGACAGCAGTGCCTTTCGTCAACGGAGTGCTTTTCTGCAAAATCCGGCTCATTGATGGTGGGGACTTTGCCATTTTGTCATCCAGGTATTTAGAACAACATGTCACTTCCTTGTTACAACCTGCTGAAACCTAACGTTATATTGCATGCAATCGACACTTGAGGTTAATCTGCTTTAAATGGAACACTTGAATTGTTCTCCACAGGGTTTAAATACATGTTTTCCCATTTCAATAGTTGAAGCTGTGTTGTACAAATAGAGCAGGACTAGCTTCCTTTGCGCTGTTTCTCAGCTCCACCCTGGCGTACATTCACACTGGGAGCTGCCCACAGCCTCTCTGTGGGACTATGTTGAGTTTAAGTAATTTGCCCAAGGGCTCCTTGGCAAAGTTGTTGAGGGAGCAAAAATCATTCACTCTGCTGCAAGGATTCAAACTGGCAGCATCTCTTACCATCTAGACCTCTGCAGGGTCTGTTCACTAGGGTTGTGCTCGACCAAAGAAAATCTTCGTTGATTACTCCTTGCCATCTTGGCTTTTTGGTCCTCGCCATCCTGGCTTTTTGGTCCTCGCCATCTTGGCTTTTTGGTCCTCGCCATCTTGGCTTTTTGGTCCTCGCCATCTTGGCTTTTTGGTCCTCGCCATCCTGGCTTTTTGGTCCTCGCCATCTTGGCTTTTTGGTCCTCGCCATCCTGGCTTTTTGGTCCTTGCCATCTTGGCTTTTTGCAACCAAAAGTGACATGAGAGGGCGGAGATAATTGACTGATAAACTTATTTTTACAGTCAGAGGAGTCGCCCCTCGATGGCCATCAGAAAGAATGCAAGTTTGAGGCTCTTCAGCATTGGCTTCACTCTTCAGACCCGGAGGTTGTCGACTGGAATGAAGTCATTCAGCATGAAAAAAACAGCCCTTCTTTTCACTGAAACTATAAAGAATTAGGGACTAGTAGCTCCAAAAAAAAGGTTCGCCATGATGTATTTTGATTATCTCAATAACTAGGACAGTGTTTCTAAAAAAACGACTGCTGTTCTATTTTCTCATTTATTTTTTAAATATGGAACTGTGTTGGTGCTGGCATGCCTTCAGTGCAGTGGTGTATAGTAACGAAGTAGAAATACTTCGTTACTGTACTTAAGTTGTTTTTTTGGATATCTGTACTTTACTATTTATATTTCTGTTGACTTTTACTTCACTACATTTTGCAAAGAAAACTGATACTTTCACTCTGATACATTTCCCCTGAAACCTTCGTTACTCGCTACAAAATCAAATCTATCTTTAGAAACAAAATGAATCATGAGACCAGCGTCGGGGACTGTGGTGGAACAGAGACTGTAAGCAAGCAGGTTTGGTGAATCAGTGGTCCTAGCTTGCAAGTTAAATCATTAGTTAATCACGTTAATGCGCAATTGCAAACAAGTGCTCTCAAAGCCGCGGTGTTTTGATTCCCAGTGATGCCCAGGATGCTATATGCTATAGCTAGCGAGACTGCATGAGTATAATTCCACTCTACGATGACTGATTTCATCATGGAAGCAGAAATGGAAGCACCTGCTACTCCCGCAACAAACGACGGTGGTGACGAAGACCAACACCCGAGGATCGCTAGCGAGTTAGTGAGCTGAGGAAGTGTTGACAGTTGTGAGATTGTGTTGATTTGAGTCATTTTAGCTATAATCATTGCAGCACTAGTTAGCTAACGTTAGCTAACTTAACGTTAGCTAGCCACCACACCATAGGATTGACAGGAGCCTTAGGGCATTAGGGTTAGCATTAGGGAAATCCTTCCCAGCTGTGCGCAAGCTGAACACACCTCTACCTGCCTCAGCGGCCTGTGAAAGGCTATTTAGCATCGCAGGACTAGTCTTCAGTCCAAGAAGAGCCAGACGGAATTCTCGCAATTTTGAAAACCAACTTCTTTTGAAGATGAACAGGACATTTTTCAGTTTCAAGTAATAACTGGGTTGTTACTTTCGGTGCTGCTTTAGTATTGATCATGTTTTGATACTTGAGTCATTTTGTGGATGATCAGATGGAGTTATGATGGTAGCAGTCGCCCAATTGCAGATTCAGCTTGAGCAAAACCTTTGCCTGTTGTGTTCAAATCAGGCCCATAGGAGTTTACAAGGCAGGCGTCCTTTCTCACAACACTGACCTGATGCATCAAGTGGATATTTTTTGCTGAACACAATATGATGCATTTGCCCTCTACATCCTCTTGTCAGAATGAGCATACTTATAAACGCACAGTTACAACTCCTTCATAGTGTCATATTGCTTTTCGGAGAATTATGATGATAAGTTCATAGTAGATGCAAAAGTATACTTATGTACAATATATTATGTTGAACATTGTTGCTGCTGGATGGATCACAGCCAACCCAATTATTGTCAACACAACTCCTTGTCCTTGGTCATGGTGCCACAGCACTTAAAAGAATAAACTTCATAATTCTGACCCTTTGCTTTTTTATTAACAGCATTTACTTGTACTTTTACTTTCAATACTTAACTACATTTAATATCAGAAAATTACTTTTGATACTTAAGTACAATAAATATCAGATACTTTAAGACTTTTACTCAAGTAGTATTCTAATAGGTGACTTTTTACTTTTACTGGAGTCATTTTCCAGTAAGGTATCTTTACTTTTACTCAAGTATGGCTTTTGGGTACTTTATACACCACTGCTTCAGTGAGACTCACTCTAGTTACAGTTGTGGCTCAATATGAATCAGCTGCTGGAAGTGTCATGCCAGGTCTCCAGGTTCAATAAATGATAAACAATCCTTTAAGGACCAAACATACATTTGACATGTTTTAACCCATTTAGACCATAATGTCCAGTATCATTGTTCTCCCCCGGTTTTAATTCTTTTCTGTATGGTTAGGAAACCCGGTAGCAGGGACCAACATTTGTTTTACCTGAGAAAGAAATGCATGCAAATCACCACTCAATAATATTTGAACTTTGATGATGGTTAAAGAACAGCTCAACATTTAAGAAACTGCACTTATTTACTTTTTTTGGTAACTCGGATAAGGTCAATATCAATCTCATATGTTTGTGGTTCTGAAGTCAATGATGTGGTTAGCCTAGCTTAGCATAAACACTGGAAGAGGGGAAAAAAGCTAGCCCAGCTCTCTCCAAAGCTAACAAATACACTTACCAACATCTCTAAAGCTCGACAATAAACACATTGTATTTCCTTCCTTTTATTTGGTACAGAGAGATGTTAAAATGACATGTTTGTGGCTTCAGGGGGAGCTTTGTATTGTAAGCATTTCTTCACAAACAACAGTTGTTGAATCTGCCCAGTACTTCTGTGGAGGGTCTCCAGCCATAGAGTGGGTTGCCTGATATGGTCTGTGAGCACAGGTCCTAGTCTTGGCACAAGCTCAGCTGTACCTGTAACCTGGCTGTTGTTTGCCTAGAAGTAGACGAGAAGGTAACGCAAATTCTCTCTTTTACTATTAATTAATAAAAGAGATATGTAACGTTAATTAATAAGTGCTTCCCCCTGCTCCAGTCTGTATGCTACGCTAGGCTCCAACTCTGCATAGAAATGAGAGTGATATTGATCTCACCCTTGTAAAGAAAGTGAAACGGTGTATTATAGTGAAATGAATGAAAACCAGGCTGTCTGGGAAATATGTTTAACAGTAATGTAAAGTCTATATGGCATAGTAAACTGGCCAAAACATGCATAACACATTTTCATTTGGAGTAGAATAGTCAATGGTGGAACAAGACTTAATGTGGGACGGTAGGCTGTTCAGGCCTGAGCGAGGGACTAAAGGTGTTGTGAGGATGACTTGAGTGTCCTGGGGACAGAATATAGACTGAGCAGGTCACTAATGTATTGTGGAGCTAATCCATTTAAGGCTTTAAAAACAAGTAGTAACATTTTAAAATAAACTTTATATTTCACCAATAACCAATGCAGGAGAGCCAAGACAGGATTAATGTGTCTGATCCAGTTCAAAGTCTAGCAGCTGCATTTTGAACCATTTGGAGCAGAGAAAGGAAGGAATGGGTCAACCCCATATACAGAGCGTTACAGTAATCAAGGCGGGACGTGATAAAGCATGTGCAATGAAGATAAAAGAGTGCCTCAAATTAACCCTTGGGGGTTTGCCACATTTAACGGTAGCATGCGATGAAGAGTAATTTCCTATCGTGACTGAAAAGGTTCTTTCTGTCAGGTAGGAGTTGAACCATTTCAACACAGGACCCTGTAGTTCAACTCCTCCTTTAAGGCGCGTCAACAGAATGTGGACAGAGAAGGATCTCGTTATGCACCTTCAAAAGGGCGATTCAGTGCCAGCCAGTGCACTAAACATCGCTGGGAATCCGTCAAAGATTTGAAATGGGTTCAGATAGCAGTGTTTCCCACAGGGTTCTGTGAGATTGTAGTGGGTAGACCTCTGCTTTAGAAGGTTCCGGGTGCATGCTACTCCGACAAAACATTATGTACATTTTAAAGTTAAATGCATCAATCTGGTGCATTTTGAGAGTAAAATGAAGAGGCTATATGTATGAACTTAGTGCTCTTGTTTTTAGCACTGGTGGAATGTAAGTACATTTACTCAAGTGTACTTACTGTAAGTACAATTTAGAGATAGCCTACTTCACTTGAATATTTCCACTTTATACTTCTATTTCACTACATCTCAGAGGCACCTGTTGTACTTTTAACTTCGCTACATTGAGTAGTAGTAAGTATAAATTAGTGCTGGGCAAGTTAACGCGTTAATTTTGCGTTAACGCATTCATTAATTAATGCCGACAATTATTTTATCGCGCGTTAATGCATTTTTTAAATTTATTATAATTTTTTCTTTTTTTTTTCTTTTTTTTATTGAAAGACAAGAGACAATACATATACTGTACATAACAAGAGGATGACAAGAACAGTGGGATAAAAGCCAGCAAACATCCTATAGTCAGTTGTGTGTGTGTGAACGTGTGTGTGTGTGAACTTGTGTGTGTATGTCCTTGATAATAAAAAAATAATAATAATAATTAAAAAACAACAACAAAAAAAACAGGTAAGTATTTTTAATTTATTATTATTGTAACAG